TGGAGTCAGATTGAAAGAGGGGACCAGTTGCTATCTGTCTACGAAATGCATCGGCCCGCCATTCCACCGTGAGAATAATCATTATCCTGCTCTTAAATTTAAACCACACTGAACTTGTTGCCTCTCGCGACAGACGATATGGCGAATCCCGAATTTTTAACACAATGCTTCCCAAATGAACTACTCGACCTTATCTTCAGCGCCTTTGGCGAACAACCGCTGAAGAACGAGATGAAGCGAACCCTTATATCCTGCAACCTGGTTTCTCGATCTTTTTCACACCTGGCTCGTCAACACCTCTTTTATGAAGTCGACCTTATGGACGTACCGGAAGACCACGCACTACGCAATCGCCTGAAATCTCTCTACGAAATCATGACATAGACCCTCAATATTTCAATACTTGTAGGATGACAGGAATCGCGCCCTACATCAAAGAGTTTCGTTGCAGGTTCAGTACAAAGCGGAACGATGATTCCAACACAGCGTCCGTGGAACCTTTTTTGCTTGAAAACAACTTCGTGGCGGTACTTCTCGCCTTGGGGAGCTGAGGGCTGGCCTGTCATCTTTCTCGATATGTTTCCCAACATACCCCAGATGGTACCAGCTGGGCAACGCCGTGCGCCACGCCTTGACCGACTGCATCCACTTAACTTGGGTGGCATTCTTAAAGATCCGCCAATTCGACCGGTTGCAGTCGAGAGGTAGGAGTTTGGATGATGTGGATTTCATATCGAGTCCACTGTAAGCTGCCTGCTTCATTCGTCTTTTATTTCGTAGGATGAGCAACGGGTTGAAGGCCGAGGAAATGGAACGGTATCGCCCAAGCAGCCAATTGTCATTATTTAATCATGCAAATAGAAAGAAAGGTTCTATCTACTCATCGCAGGGTGACAAGTTCTAAGGATATTTCGCAGTCAGCAATTGAGATTGCGAGGCACTTAAGGCATTTTTAGCATACCTTCTCCAGATGTAGGGTGAATAGCGACAGTATCGTCTAAATCTTGCTTGCGGGCTGCCAGAATGAATCCTGTTAGCGACTTTCCGATACATTATCAACAAGGAAGGCATACCGCCCATCTTAACAGCAACACCGAAGCCTTGCATGACCTCGTCGCTCCCTTGGCCAAGAATATGTACACCGACGACGCGCTCTTCTGGTCCTACGACAACGAGCTTGTACATTGTAGGCTCCTTGTGCTCTTCTTCGATCATCGAGAAGTAGAGAGCACGGAAGGAGGTCTTGTCTACGACAAGAGTTATAATTATTCATCGTCGTGATCGAGGGGACGGAGGTTGATACGTACAGATCTTGACAGCGTCGTCTCCGTATTTCTCCCTCGCCTCGGGCTCAGTCATGCCGACAGTTCCGATGGGAGGATGCCTAGACGAATGAGGCTTCAGTACTGCCAACACGAAATGGCGAAGGAAAAGGAAACCCACGAGAAGACGACAGTTGGGATGTTTTCGTAGCTCAACTTGTCCTCCTTGAACTTCTCGCCCCCAAACAGCCGATTCGACAGCCTCCTGCCAGCAGCAACGGCCACAGGTGTCAGCAGCCATTTGCCTTGTGCGTCTCCGATCGCCGTAATCCCAGGAACGTTCGAGTTCTGGTATTCATCCACAACGACATCGCCTCTATCGTCCAGCTGCACCCCAATCTTCTCGAGACCCATGCCCGCCGTGCTAGCCTTGCGTCCAATCGCCCACAGCAGTACGTCCACCTCGAGCTTCTCGCCCTCCTGCGTATGCACAACGAGCGGCGTGCCTTTGCCTCCAGGCTGCTCAATGCGTGTAACATGTCTCTGCTTGTGCAGCCTCACGCCTGTCTTCTCGATCCACGGCGTGATGGTCTCCTGGATCGCGGGGTCGAAGGTACGCAGGACACCGTCGCCGCGGATGAGGAGGTGCGTCTCCGTACCGAGAGCATTGAAGATGCCCGCGAGCTCGACGGCGATGTACCCTGCACCGACGAGGGCGACACGCTTGGGTTGCTCGGCGAGCTCGAAGAACCCGTCGGAGGTGATGCCGAGGGACGCACCCGGAACTTCCTCCTCGCTAGGTATGTTGGGGTGCCCGCCGACTGCGACACAGATGTTCTTGGACTTGAGGGTATATGTGCCCTTGTTGTCCGGGAGGGTGACTTGCACCTCCGTTGGGGAAATGAACGATCCAAAGCCTTGGTGCAACTCGATGCCTTCGCGATCCCAATTGCTCGCGTAGATCCCGTTCAGGCGCTTGATGTATTCATCGCGTTGGGGCTTGAAGGATTTCCAATCGAATTTGGCGTTTTCGACGCCGTGGAATTTGTACCCTTTCGTGTGGTGCGAGATCTTGTCCTGGAGGTCGGCGGCGTGCCACATAATCTACGGACGCAGCGGGTTGGTCATGATTCCAGCGAGAAATGTGGATATATGCGCACTTTCTTGGGAACACATCCTACCAAGGAGAGGCTGAGGTTGAGCAGTCGGCGCAGGATGACAGAAACTAGCACGACGGACCAACGTTTACACAAGTACCACCCGGTTTCGATGTCAACTCGACCAGCGCAACCGTCTTTCCATACGACGCCGCGCGCCTCTACAGCCTTTTATCAATACGCGTTGGACGATAATTTTGCTGAACAGGATCTACTCACCGCGGTACCAGATCCACCACTCCCACCTCCAATGACGATGTAGTCGTACTCCTCCCTCGTCGGCTTATCGTAGATGGGAGGCATTCTCGCGGGTGCGTCGCTGCTGAAGGCTCTGTAAACCTATCGGTCATATTATCAGCGATCGGGGACCGACGGGCCTACAAAACGGGGGGGAGCACTCACCTGGGAAAGACGAAGGGCAGGGGAAGCTATCTTCGCTCGTCTGAGAGAATATATGCGGCCAAACGTGGAGATCGTGGTGGTATTAGGCAAGCGTGACAGTGTGATTGAGGGGAGCAGTGAAGTTTGAGCTCGGAGAGATGGGGATAGCGCGTGGAACGCCAGGTTTGCAAGTCCCCCGAGTAAACCTCTTCGTCGTATTTATAAGGAGCGTTGCGCCAGCGACAGCAAGGATTGGCAAGCGCGTGCGTGACCACACTTTGTAATGGTCAGCTGCAGTGTTAGGCGCAATTACTGTACGCTGGTCGTGATTTCCGTAACCTATAAGCTCTGAGTCGACCGCTGATGAAGTCAGACTTGAAATAGATAACAATAGATTAGCAGCCCGTCGTTTTCCGTGACGTCCCTCCACACGCCTACAAGGCAAAGACAGCGAGCTTGGAAGGAGCGCTGGCGCGAGGTAGATGGAGTGTACAGTCAGCAACACTCCGGCAACTTGGAAAATTCGCAAGCACGCAACGCGATCACGTGCAGCGAAATCAGTGTGCATTCCGGACCGCTTCCGCCGTCGAAATGCCTTTTTTTTTTGGTGCAAGAGCAATATATTTTGCATCGAAGCGTCTACTACGACTACGACTATGGACTGCTCGCGGTGATAAGGATAAGGATACGGTAACGGTACTACTACTGGTAGGATCTGAGAAAGGGTACGGGTACGAGGGACGGAAGGATGGTGGAGGGAGGCAAAACGCCTAGGGATTAGAGACGATGGAAGGTCGTGCAGGATATAAGATGAGGGTGGATGGATGGATCTGAGAGGTGGCGTAGGGGACGAGCAGGAACGGTTATTCGAGACACTATCGAGACTTGACACAGCGAGAAAGAGAGCAGACAGAAAAAAAAATTGAAAAAGGAGAGAATAAGTTATGGGTTTACTGGTCGACTGTTCACAGTTCACTTTGCAATGAGACGATGAACACAGAGTGTTTGGTTGAGTATTGAACTGAGATATTGAAGCTTGAAGCTTGAGACTTGAGAGAATGAGGTTGGAACCGAAACTGATGTGAAAATGGCACGGATGGATCGAAGCGCGGGTAGATAGATGATAAAAGAAAAATGGGACAATCAATTCTGGGGATAGGATGGAAGGGGATGGACGAAGATGGGGTAGGGACTGGGGAGTGGTGACTTGATACTATCACAAGCAAGTTGGTCGAAAATGAAGCGGGTATTCCTGGAACACCGAACGACGAAGGCAAGGGGATAATGAAACACAAAAATGGGTCTAGCAGGATGGAAGGGTCAGTTTGCAGGCTAGGCTAGGGCTTCGTAGAGAGTGTAAGGACTCACCGAAATACCACCAAGCAACTCTCGACACAAAACGACCAGAATGAATATGCCAACAGACAAGCAAGCAAGCACTCTAGTCTATGAAGCAGGCCACGAAGCACGATCTACAGTGTGCAAAAATCAGCACACCAGCCTCGACTGAAGTAGAAAATAAAAACTCACTAAAGAAAACCTAAAATACATCACCGACACAAAAATCATACACCCCACACAACAGCAGGCGGCTCAAGGGCGTCGAGGCAAGGGGAAAAGGCTCGAAAGGAAAAGATCGATCGGAGGGCGTATGATATACAGATTCGGACCCAGAGCCCGGAAGGGCGGAGGCAAATCCGAGTGAGCGAACACCGACGACGAATGGCGAAATGTGGGGAAAGCTGCCGCGAGCACGGGTGTGGGGTAGGTTGACGAAAATAGCACCAGCACAAGATGCGGGGTAGGAGGGTAGAGAAAGACGAAGGAGGACGGTATCATGAAAGATAGGACAAAAGACAGAAGAAGGGCGTCCCGTAAGGCAACCACGCGTGGATGCTGAGCGGACGAGAACAAGAAAGAGGATAACCAACGAACTCGAACTCGTGGTCAGTCAGGTTATCCTTTCCACTCCACGCCTTGTGTGTTGTGGGCGTCGAGACAAAGTTACACATATATCGTGCAAGCTCTCAAGTCGTCCACCGTACCAATGTCTGTCTTCCCTTCCATCCCCTTCAAGTCCACCCCAAACCAAACCCGCCAAGCTGCTCCTTTCCACACCCCAAGCCCGACCTAAACCTCTTGCTCGCCTCCTTCACCTCGCCCGAACCCTCCACGACCGGCGGATCGACCGCTCGGACGCTTCTTGTGCGCCAAGCCCGGCCCAAACTCCATTAAAGCCTACGGCTTGTGCGAAGACGACTGGTTATTGGGCGGACGGAGATAAGAACGTCGACCATCCACCCACGGGTCAGAAGGAGTTTATTGGACGGACGAAGGCAAAGGGGAGTTGGCAGGCCAAGGAGCATTCAGAGGGCCAAGCCAAGTCCTCTAGCGTTGGAGCTGGCATAAAGGCTCGAGGTGGAGACCGGGTTTGAATGAATGGTGCTTGTACCTTCCTCCGAATCCGAATCTTGAACGAGGATGCGAAACCGAGCAAGATGAGCTCCGGGGTTGTATAAGAACGTCTGTCTGCCTTGCTAGCTGGCCGTCCTGGTCCAGTGTCTTGCATGGCTCGCCCGTCGCCCGTCGTGCGCCTAACAAAATCTTCCTCGACACCGATCCGCCGGGGCCCAGGGTGAAACGCCAACGCCAACATCAACACGTCGGAGGTCGAGGTGTCGACAGTCGAACGTACGTCGAAGGCTTGATCATCATCATCGCACATAACCTGGACCATCGCACATAACGCTCATCCCTCGCCCTCAGCGGCACCTGCTGCCTCGCTGTCCACCCACTCAACCAACCGGCGAACCAGCCGATAACGTACATCTCCTCGCCATGCGTTCGTGCCTCCTTCTCAACCACCTCTCTCAAGCAACCCACCCAAACTCCTCAAGCCCTCCCTCCAAGTCCAAAAACACCCTCCACACCTCCCCAATCTCCTCCTCCTCTCCTCAAACACACTCCTCAAACACTCTCGCGAAACACACCACCCACCCTCCACTCCCCTCCACTCCATAAGGCACCTTTTACTCCTTATGCCGACTAACCTTCTCCACACTCGCGCTCAGCGCCGTCTTCCTCGCTCTCTCATTCTCCTCTTCCTCTTCCTCGTCGTCGTCATCATCCTCCTCTTCGTCTCGATCCCGCTCGTCCTCAGAGTCGCTCTCGTCGTCCGCCTCGCTCTCAGTTGACGAAGACGACGAGGTGGAGGTGGTGGAGGTAGTGGAGGCGGCACGATGGCGGGGTTCGCCCTCGGTGCTAGACGCAGGTGCGGTAGCAGTAGTGTTGACGCCTTTGGGTGTCTTGGTGGGTGTGGGTGTAGGGGTAGTATCGTCACCCGTAGACGGCTTGGGCGCCTCGGTGGATAAGGGCGTCTTCGGCTCAGCAGGCAGTCCCTCATCCTTAGGCGGAACCTTGGACTCTTTCGGGGCCTTCGTCTCCTCCTGGAGATCTCCAAGCGACCCCTCACCCGCACCTCCAAGTACCTCCCTTTCCCTTTCCCGCTCACGATCACGCGAGGCGATACTCGCCTTCGACGGCGTCCTCTTATGCCCACCCGTATGCCCAACCCCATTCGGCATACCCAACCCACCCGACATCGAATGCAAGTGCGAATGGTGGTGTCTCCGTCCCGCGGACGGTGCGGGGACGGGGACTGTTACGGCTTGCAGGACGTGTTCCTTTGGTGTGGCGGTGAGAGGCGCAGAAGGAAGAGCAGAGGGAAGAGCGGTGGGAGGCGCAGACTCGGCTGCGGCTGCGTTGAGGATGCTCGCATTGGGCGTTGGCATGCCCGACCCGGGGGGTGAGATGTGTGTTGTAGCGGTGGTGGTGGTGGGCTCGACGAGCTCGAGAGGCGTAGGGGTGTGTTTATCTTCCATGGGCTCGGCAGTGATGGTCGGCGCAGAAGCAGCGGTGGTGGTGGTTTCAGGTTCGTCGGTGACAACAGCGACTATATGCGCTGGGGCAGATGCAGACGCAGAAGTAGCAGCGAGCTCCGCCATCGCCCCGCCGTCCATCGTAGACGTGCGCGTCGGCGTCGGGGTGCTCATCTTGCTTCCATCCATCTCGACCTCTGCCTGCTCTTGCTCCTCCTTCTCCCTCTCCTCCTGCTCTTTCGCCTCCCTCTCCAGCCTCTCCTTCTCCTCCCTCGCCTTCCTTTCCTTCTCCGCCTTCCGCTTCTTCACCCACGCCATCCCACTCCCATCATCCTCATCCTCCTCGTCTTCCCCATCGCCACCCTCTCCTTTCCCATTAGCGTTCCCATTCCCAGTACTACTCCGTTTTCCCCAACCAACGCCCTCGCGCACCGCCGAGCCTCCGTGCAGGCGCTCCCAGTTCACCCCACCCGACGAGCCCGCGACGCCCGCAGACCGCGCACCTTTCACCGAGCCCATACCGCCATAACCCCACTCGACGAACTCGGGCTCTTCGTCGCGCGCGTTCGCGAACGGGTTCGCCGCAGGCCCACTGTTGTTGTTGTTGTTGTTGCGTTTCGGGGCGCCGTACACGCGCCCGTTGAGCATGCGCGTGCCTTTGTGTTTGTTCGTCGGTCTCGGTGTGGGATTGGACGTCGTAGAGGATTTGGAGGACTTGGCGGACTCGGAGGCGAGGGAGGAGGACGACTCGGAGGTGAAGAGCGATATCGCGCCGCGTTTGTTCTTGGATTTGTAGCTCTGTGTGCTCTGCGTGCGCGCGAGGGGGGACGAGCCGCTCATCGGCGCGCTGCCTCCACTCGCACTAGCCCATCGGGCAAGGCCCCACCCTCCGAGGGTCGTACTGCTACCGGTGGTAGAGGGGGCAGAGTCGTCGCGGGAACTATCGCGGGACCCAGTGCGGAAGAGGTTGATGGTGCCGAATGTGAGGATCTCCTCGGTCGTGATCGTTTTCCGACCGGGGCGTGCAGTGCCGTTGCTCTCGATAGACGGAGTGGGGGTGAGCGAGTGCGAGCTCGACCCGGAGGATGAGGCGGACGAGCGCTTGCCAAATGGGATGAGGTTGGATATCGAGCGGTGCTTGGGCCGTGACGAGGGCACTGCGGTGGGGGTGTTGGAGGACACGGGCTGCAGCGGGGCACCATGGCCGTGCTCGGGCAAGGGCAGCGAGGAGTTGTGGGCTATCGGCGAAGAACCGACGGACGATGCGGGCGAGTCTTTGTTGTCAAAATCGCTTGGGGTGGCCGTGCGCGGTGTGGACGTAGCCGAGCTTGGCAGCGACGAGTTGGAGAAGTAGGAATTGGACGAAGAGCTGCTGCTGCTCGCTGCATTTTCGTCGTGGTGGTGCTGGTGGTGGTGTGGATGTTGATGTTGTTGCGGCGGGACGAGGGTGGAGATTGGAAGGTCAGGGTCACAGGCTTCGGAGGAGGAAGAAAGCGATGATGTGGTCATAGGGCCCGCACCGGAGCCGCTGACGGCGTTCATGACGGCGATGGAGGCGGCGGCGGGGAAGTGTGTGTCGTCGGGGATGGGGAGCTCGTTCCCGTCGTCCATGACGAGGACGGCGCGGCGGGGGTCTGGGAGGGGCGCGAAGCGGATGCGGCGAGCCGGGGCGGGGGGCTGTGTTCTGTTGTGCACGGGCGGGGAGGGGCCCGAGGCTTTTCGGTGGGGGGTCTGGCTGCGGGGGATGGAGGCATCGGTGTAGGACGTGTGCGACGATGTTGAAGACGCCGAGGAGGATGCAGAGCCGTCGGTGGACGATGAGAGGGAGATGGGGTACGCGGACTGGGGTCTCGGGGTGCGTAGGATGCCTGCGGCGGTGGGAGTCGGGTGGTGGAGGACGGCCGTGGCGGTGGCCATACGTTTCTGTCCTCAGTTGTGGTGGATGTGGATGAATGGGTGGCAAGGGGAGGGCGAGTGGAAGTGATGACTTTGAAAAGAGACGCAGATATTGGAGCGCACTTGGCGCACATCAGAGTCCGCGGGGTCCTGTCCACGTGCAAGATCTAGATCTACTCCGCTTTGAGACATGGTTCCCACCAAGTCTATTCTCTCGCCTTTGCCCCGTCAACCAGAACTGCCAAACACCATCACCACCGCCGGGACATGAACAGAACACCTTCCTCGGCCGTCTAGATCCTGCGTACACATCCTGTGCCCTGCGCCCGCCGCCTCCCCGCCAAGCCTGCAACCGACTCAGACCCATCTGTCCCTGCACCATTTCCGGAACTTGTCCAGTCGGAGTCGCCCGACTCACATCTCCTCTTTCCCCGATCACAACGCCCGACCGCCGTCGTCCAAGTCATCACATCGATATCATGTCTCACCCGCCCCCCATTCCCGTCCTTTGACACCTCTCACTACTAGTCAGTCGTTCTTTCAGTCTAAACCATAATCCATTTCATCTTTCCCAAACCCCCCTCAAACAAACCTACCTTGAAAGCACCCAGACCAGGACAAACGAAAGCACCGTTAATACCAAGCCTTCCAAGGTTGAACGTGTAACGTTGCACATATATTATTATTACCTCTCACCCCGCCCCCCGGCTCTTGCCTGCCCTACCCTGCCCATCCTATCCCAACGCGAGTATCGTTATCACCTGCTGTCTGGCGTTTCGGGCGTTACATACGCACGTCTTTCAGGCTTTCAAAGCAAGAGCGAGTGTCAAAACACACACGTCCCTCCGAGCGCCCGTCCAATCACAGTTCTCCTTCGCCCTCATTCTCTTGGCTTGTATGCTTGGGCCGCTCTGTGACCAACATACCTTACGCTATGCAGGCAATCCCCTCCAAGACGTCTCCGATAGGCTCCACGGCTTCCTCCTGGTTCCTAGCCTTCGTTCCTGTGTTCGCTTCCTGAGCGTCGATTTCTGCGAAGTGTACACGCTGTACGTTCCCTTCCTCCTCTGATGGCCTGAGAGCTGACGTCGTTCACCGTCGACTAGCCTTCCTACTCCCACTCTGCACGGCCTTGGCCGGACGCTGGCGCCCGTCGTGATCACCTCGTTGTCGACCGGCAGAGATAGATATGTCGCGCGTCATACTATTCCTTGGTATGATCCCGCAGCCACTCTTCCATCCCCCCTTGTACTCATCCTGTAAGTGAAACAGCTTCGTTTGTTCTCCGCAAGTTTTCCGTCCTTCTCGATGCCGCCGCGTCAACGGCCCGAACGTTTAACCTTCACCCACTGTTCCTCACCCGACTTGACTTAAACGTTCACTTACTTGCCGAAGTTTCCTCGTTCTAAATTCCTTCGACGTACTGGCACGAGTCTACCCCCCAAGAAAGGACCGTTCTAAATTCCTTCGATGTCCTGGCACGAGTCTACCACCCAAGAAAAGAGTCTTGACCAGCTTGACTCTTGATGAGCCCGCACGAGACCGAGTGCAGTGCTCGTGTGCCGCCCAACGTCCTTGGTATGAAATCCGCAGTTACACTTTGACGCCTTGTCCTCCTCGTCCGGTTATGCTCATTGTTCCTCCTCTTGAGTCTTGACACGCGTCAAGCGGCCCGAGTTGACGGGCCCGCTCTATCAAGCACTACCCTCCTTTTTCGTTCGAAGGTTTACTTGTAGGGATTTTCTCGTTCGCGCTGGAAGAACCTGGTAGAACCCGATGAAACCTTTGATAGTACAGTATGCCGGAATTCGACTGACGACCTCGGTATGAAATCCGCAGCTCCAGTCATTCGTCCGTCTCGTCCTCTTATGCTCATGTTCCGTTTCTTGCCTCTCGTCAGATCTCTTGTCTCTTGTATTCTATACTTATCTTGTACAGGAAATAGGTAACGTTTTCCTCGAGTTCTCAACGCCTTCTCGGGTCTCGAAGTGCATCCAGCGGTCCCAACCTACCCACCGTACCAAGCTATACCCCCTCCGTTTTTGTCCCGAGGTTCACTTGCCGAGGTTTTGTCGTCCACGCTTGCAGGACTTGACAAGCCTTGCACCCGAGAATCAAGCTCAAGATAAAAACAACCCGCCTGTCGTCCGCCGTTAGACTGACGGCCTTGGTATGAAATCCGCAGCTCCCCTTCGACTCCTTATGCTCATATTCCTCGTTTTGCGAATAGGCACCGCTCTCCTCGAGTTCTCTGCACCTTCTCGAATCGTGACGTGCGTCAGGCGTTCGGACTTTGCCAGTGCCCACTGCCCAAGTTTCGTCACTCGCAGCGCTGGCAGAACCTCGACGAAATATGCGCGTCCCAGAGTCAAGCTCAAGATATCAGACAACACAACTTGTCACCTGCACTGCGCTGGGGAGACTTCGTGCGCCATTCGACATCATTGGTATGAAATCCGCAGCTACACCTCTACATCTCGTCATCTCGTCCTCTTCATGTTGTATCTCAGATCACCCTTGTCGCTTGCCATCTCAGGCTCTCGTCTCTTTTATTTTCTGCCTCTGATTAACCGGTCACCATCCGCCCGTACGTAACTGCATATTGTGCACGCCCTTTGGAATTCTCCAAGCTGCGACGCGCCGATCAAGTCTCGACCTTCATCTACAGGGAGAACCTCATGGCAAGCTCACGGCCGCTCAGACCTCAGAGCTGGAGCGCCTCTGGCTTGGGCTAGGTAGGTTTATCTGCCTACTCTTTCCCACCCAGGCTGGCAGTTGGACCTCTCGGACCGCCGATAAGGCTGGAAGCTGGAAGGCTTTTCGAATTCGGGCGATCAAGTACTCGCTGCACCCACAATGGCCAGGTTATAGACGCGTGCACCTACTTACCCACGACGCACCTGTGGTCAAGTGGACGCTTCGGAGGTCCCTACCCCAACTGCAGGCAACCAAAGGGCCCTCAGCTGGCCCTTCTTCCATTTCTCCTGCTCAAGTCCTCAGTCCCCCGTCCCCGTTTTGGTTTAAATAAGGACCTCAGGCTGCTGCTCGCGCTGCCCTTGGGCCTCCCGCGGCAACTCTCATACCGTTCATGATCTTGGACCAGGGGTCTGACGTCTGCTACGGTGGCGATCAACAGCATGTATGCGTTATTAAATCTCAGCTCCCTTCCTCAAGCGTCCACAGTCAACAATCAACAGCACGCCGGGGAACAGCACGGGGCGAGGGGTCTGGGGCATCATCTGCATCGATTCGCCGATCCACCGATCCTGCCTCCAGCAGTCAAAGACTCGAGCAAGCTCATGCACATCAAGATCAGAGGATCAGAGGATTGCGCTCGCACTCTCAGAGCTACCGTGCATCGTGTCTCGCACCGTGGCACTTCTCGTCGATTCCCTCTAATCTCGAATTCGAAGGTCTTCTCTTTGACTATCTAGAGTAAGCAAGCACCAATGCCCTATATCCACGACTACTTTCGTCGGACGAAGGACTGGAGAGTTTGACAAGAGCGAACCGTAGCTCCGATCTCCGAGCGCGGGCTCTCTAGTTAAATTTTCGAGGTCTGTCCCCCAGTTCCAAACCCAAACCTATTCCCAGTCTTATTTGCACGCCTATCTCAGTACACGTGCTATGAAGACACGCCAAAGAAGTGGGAACGGCCCCCTACTCCAAGACGTGGCCTGTCGGACCCACCTCGGAGCCACCTTGAACTCGCACTTCTTCCCTTCTCTTTCTTCTTCCTACATCCTGAGTATCTCGTCCTTCTTTTGCTTTTCCCCCTTGCCCTCCTCCTTCTCTTCCCCCCGTGTCCCCCTTCTCCTCTGCCTCGATGCTAGCCGGCTCGTTCGCGGTGCAGGGTCTCCTCGTCCCTCTTTCCCTACAGCGTCATCGAGGAAAACAGCCCGCCATCGACGTCATACCCCGCTCGCGTTCCAACCGCTTACGCTTCATCCCATCTAACTAAGTACCTTTATCGCACTCTACTCTACTCTAACCTAACTATACGCTGCCTAGGCTACCCATTCGAAAGCTTCGAATCGGAGGCCCCTCCAATAATCAATTAATCTGGCTTTAATGCTTACCTTTGGCTTTGACCGACGCTCAGTCTATTACCCAGTATCCGTACGTCATTCCCCCACGGTCCGATCGCGCTCGCTCGGATAGCGTCAACTGCGCTGACTCGCGACGTACGTATTGTATACCTCTCCTGTTGTTTTACCTCTAACACCGCCGCCGGCCTCGCTCGGAGGCTACTAGTAAGTGGTAGTCATCCTGCGATAAACAATCAGCGGTTTCGTTCGCTGTGATCATGATGATGGACAGACGCCGCTGGGTGCCGGGGGTCTACGTACGTCCTCGAGAGCTCGAAGCCTCCTTCAACTAATTCCCCTTCAAGTTAGGCTTACTCACTCTCCGGACGCAGGCTTCGCTCTGACTTTCGTTATCGGGCACCTTCTCGGTGCGATGACTTCTGGATGTCGTACACCTTCTCAGACTCCATTGTCTCCTGGCACCGTAGCACTGTCGACATCTCCGGGTCCTTGATTTACGGATACGGGGCTTGCACGCCGTACGCCGTACGCGCAATCCCTTTGTCGGCGCCACCGTGGCTCCATTTTGCTGCGCGTACGGCTCCGTGTCTCAAATGCAAACGCGAGTCACGTTCGTCGCTCATGCCTTCGCCGAACGTCTCCTGACTCTATGCTTACCTTATGTACCTTACCCCTACGTCTGTCTTATACTTCTAATCACAAAGTTCAAAGACGTCCTCGCCAATCACACGGTTCACGATGACTTCCACTCTCCCATACTTTTCACACACGGTTAAAGCACAGCGCGCACGCCTTAGAATCAGTGCCTTCGATTACGGCGTCCGAAGATCAACTGACTTGCTTTTTGGATTCTCGTTTGAATTCATTGTAATAGCGGTCTGCGGGCATTAAACCTTGCGCCGTGTGCTGCGATGCAGGGATGGAGAATAGAAGACGACCGCGCACGCTTGAAGACGCGAGCTACCTCAAACG